TGGTTTTCTTCTAGCCGTCTTGGCTTCTGGTATCGCATCATTAATCACACAACCTATTGATGTATTAAAAACACGTTTACAAGTACAAAAACAGCGTACATCAGTTCTACATACATTGCTTACATTAATTGAACAACGTGGTGCACTAATAGGTTTAATGAGTGGTATATTACCACGTGCAATGATGGTTATACCAAATTGCACAGTTTTAATGTCACTATATGAATATGTTAAAAGAATTAGTGTTAAGACACACGATAATGATGGCTATAATATATAGTTGTAACATGACTATGACGGGATGGTATAGACTAGCCATGGATGAATCAAACAAGGGCATAGCTCCAACTCATAAACTACTTTTTTTTTTAGATTGAATATATCGTGCCACTAATTCGAATTTGCAACACTAGTTTTTTTTCTTTTCATTTATACCTCGCTGGATAGAGTGCATCGCGAAATGTAAGAAGATGTTTGTTTCTGCTGAGTGAAACTAGCCATAAGGCTTTTTTCAAAATACTTTTTAGCGTTGAAATTCCATCGGGAAGGTAAAAGTTAGATTTCTACGTCATACCTCGTCCGACAGTCATTCTTAATTTTTTTCTCTATACAATTTAATATCCTCTATCGAACTACGCTGGAACGTACTCTTCATATCTAAAACTGAAGTTTTTAATGAAATTTTAAAAATGAGGCAAACTTAGAAAAACATTTAAAATTTTTTTTTGAAAATTACGATTTCGGTATACGAAAAAATCTTTGAAACATATAATTCGAAGTGTCCTCTACAAATTGATGAACTGTAAAAGTAAAACAATGTGAGCTTTTTTCTTAAATTTGCCAGAGTATGACAGCTAAGTGCTTAGTTATCTATCTCGTATTTAGAATGGGAAGAAAATTCACTAATTAATTTCAATCTTTTGTTTAGCTGTTGTTCTAACGTAGGATATCCTAGGTCAGGATTCGCCCACAGACTGGTTCCAACTCCGCTTCCGTTGGCTCCAAGCACCACTGGACCAGCACTTTCTGTTCCAGCTGTCGCTCTAAAAATTTGTCATGCCATCAAGGAGAAATCCCGCGATTACAGTCAAAAACCGACAGCCAACTTCGGCAATTTCGGGAAACCTGTCGCGGTTAGTTTATTAACTGGCGCCCAAAAAAATATTTATTTGACCACAAAGAAAATTTGGAAGAAACA